TTTTAAATATTTAATAACACTATATTTACTTAGATTTGAACTTACTGGAAATTAGTCAGAAATAACCTTACGCTAGTGAATTTACATGCTTAATAATAAAATACTTAATTTACAGTGCATTAAGATTGAAGATTTAAATTAAACTAAACTAAATATGAAGTTGAAAAAAAAATGATATTTGAAAAATAAAGATAAATCAAATAAACAGCCCCATAATACAATAAAATAAAAATAATTATTAAAAATATTATTATTTTAAAATAATAACTCAGATTTAATATATAAAAATAAATTAAACATGGTTTTTTTTCCTCAAATTTTGCCTGATATTCACTCCTAATTTGGTATCTGATTATTTCTTAAATTCAAGTTGCTAAGAGAAATAGTAAGCTTTGATAAAGCCGATCCAATCAAATAAAAAATAATAATTTTTGTCAGTACAAGAGTATTTACAATTTAAAATAATCCAACAATAAATTAATCAGCACTGTTTAAATTTAGCTGATGAAGCTCACAAGGGTACCACATAATGTGGTCCACATTTGAACAAAATAGTTTAAAAGGTCCTGGATATAATTTTTATTGCTAGTGTTTCATTGATTATTCATAATCTAAGATTTTTATGACCTATATCTTGACCTTATTACACAACGCTATGTATTTTTTTCTCTAAGCTTTGCTTAATCGAGAGAGAAAAATGGAAGAAATTGTCAATCTTATAAACAAATATAAAAACAAGTAATAATCCCTAATGAAAATTAAAATTGAAGCTTGTAGTTGCTTGTCTCAACATATTGGCATCTTGCTAGCAAGACTTGGTCCGTTTTCTTTATCTCTTTTAAGAGAAAAGAAGGAGTGAGAAAGTGAGAGATGCATATTGAAATCTATCAAGTTCAACTATGTCTTGTATTTTATTTTCGTCCTTGTTTCCTTTTCCCCATCCAAATGCAACATTAGGGTGGTGCAAATAAGAAATGAAAGATCCCTTTCATCTTTTTTCTCCCTTTTACTTTTTTTCCTTGCTTTTTCTTTCAATTGAGCCAAGAAATTCCGTTTATTTCTTTTCTACTGATACAAAATTAATCACCATGTTATAATCCACAATAGTGCAAAATTTGAAATAAATGGAATTATAGAAAGCATCAAAGCAACCCCAAATAATTTGGAAAATAAATAACATATCATGTTCAAGTTTGCTTAAGACGTTGATTTTAAGTGTTAAGTTTGAACTTGTGTCCTGCATGGCTGCATCCTCTATATGAGACAACTTCTTGTGGCTGGAAAAAGTGTAAACAAAATCGTACACAAAATTATAACAGGGGATATGCCTTTACTGTAAATCTGATGACAAAATTGACCAGACAAGCGTACAATTGAAGAGTTCTCCCACTATGTAAATATCGTTTTACTATTTTTACTCGCATAAACGACAATCCGTATCATCATTGTGATTGTCTTTAACCTTACTTTTTTAAGTTCATGAATTCTTTGACTGCTAATATGACTCGCGATCTACCCAGATGATCATTACACCGTGAATGAATTACCCATGCTGGAATTTATAGGATAAAATGTTCAACATCAATTGGTATAGGATTTTTCCAATGGTTTTTCTTCTCCAAGTTGGCAATGAAAATAGGAAATGCTTATGCATATTGAGATATTGTTTTGTACATCAATGAAAATGCTTTTGTATTTGTTAAGAAAATTCTTTAAAATAATACAAATTTTTGTTATTTGTACCAGTGTGAGAGATATCCTGCATACCTATTAGAAATTTTATTATTAGATTCATGGCAATCACAAGCCTGATACCGTACACTAAACATGTATAACTCCCACAATTTACATGAATAAATTGAAATTTTATGATATTTTTTATTTAAATAGCAAATAAAATTACTGAAATAAAATAATACATGTATTCCACATAAGTGCATTAATTTTTATTGTATTTTGGACCCTTATAATGCATTATGATGGTTATCCTATTTTCCACTTTTTTGTGTTATGTTTACGTACTAGTGAAAATATAAAATTAAATATTATCCTTGCTTCATTGTCAATATAAAAAAATTATTGAATAATTATATATAAATTATTGAGATTTATTTCCTTCACGTAACTGTCATTAACGAAGCTGCGGCTGCTGGCTCTTTAATTATTTTTAGTTATTTGCTTCATTACTTTCTTCGCGTATATAGTAAAATCGGTACAATTATAGACGTCATATCGTTTTTTTTAATTATAACTTACGTGAAATTGTGAACTGTTATCTTTGGTCTTTGTTTATTTAAAATTAGTTTAGTTTTTATCAAAATTATTACATTAATATAATCTTTGATTATCTTTTATGCATAAATAATCGAAAATTTGTAGCGTGTAACCAAATTAATGTCATGTGATGAATTAGAAATATCACATGACAACAATGTTGATGGTCAATCTTTATAACTACCAAAACAACGTTGTAAAAGTTTTTGGAGAATTAAATTAAAATGTCATTTAGTTTAAGAATAAATAAATAAACAAATATAAATAAAGAATAATAATAACAAGATTTTGTCATCACAAGAAGAAAAAATAAATAGTGAAGGAAAATGTTGCAAATCGCTCAACATTATTAAAACATAAATCAAAGGAAAAAAATTATCTAAATATTGTAAGAAATATTTACTTAATAATTGGTTTATTTATCTAAAACCACCCTAAATATTGATCAATTTATTCTAGACGTGATTAACTTGTTTTACATATGACATCGCTAACATAACATAGATATGTGGCAAACTGAAAATATGACTCTGGGAGTGCACAATAAACAGCAATCTAAAAAAATATTATCTGATGTATGGCTTTTGAGCAATAATCGAGTAAATTATTAATTAATGCAATGTAATAGAATATCTTTGAAAATTTACCTTAAAGTATGTATAAATAACTATTTTATCAAGTGACATCATTTTATATTTTATAGGATAAGATTAGATGAGATTGAGTGTTAAATTTAATATAATAACAATTTTAATAATTTTTTATTTAAATAAATTTTATAAATTTAATTATTAAGTTTTATATTATTAGCATAAATAATAGGTGTGAATTTTAAACTTAACTCAAGTAACAAGCAACTTAATATCGCTTAAGAAAAATTTTAATTTTAAATTTTTGTATATATAAAAAAAATTAATAATAAATTCAATCATTATATCTAAGTGCACAATCTAAGTTGTATCCAGATTAAGTGTAAAAATTTAAAACATCTCACAAGAAACTAGAAATAGATTTCTGTTAAATAAAAACTATTGACGGTGAAAATTGAAATTAACCCTTGTACAAGGTGCTTGATCATCATTGATAAATAATGCACCTTGGGGAGTGTTGCTCGGTATGCTTTCTCTTTGGGTTACATGAACACATCTTTCTGTGAAGTGTACGCCATGGCAACTGCTCCCAAGCCACTCTACTGTGATTCTAAGATTTGTCCAATTCACATTTGTTCTACGCTTTTGCGAGGAGCAAAACCAAATTTTCCGTAAAATTATTGTAAGCTTTAAGAATCTATATCTTGTTTTGTTTAAACTGATGTCTTTGCCAATCATGTAACTTCTGGATTCCCAATTTTCGTTTTTGAAAAACTGATACACAGCGCTATTTTGAAAAAAGATGGAGCGTTGTTGATACTTTCACACTGCTAGTTAAGAACCAATCTAAATTATTTAAAAAGCCGTTAAATTGATTAAAAAATTAAAAACCAAATAAAGTGCTAACCTATCAAGACTACTCTAATTGTTTTTTCAAATACATAAAATTAAGAAGGCAAAATTTATAAGATATATTTTTATAAAGATGATATTGTGATTTAAACACGTGAAAAAAAAATCTAAATTAAGAGAATATTTTATTAAGTAAAAGACTTTTTTAAGTATTACTTCTTATCCTACTTTAGATAATACTTATTTTAACGTCTCCTAACGAAGATATTATTTTCTATAACTGAAATACATAAAGAATTTAACTCAAAATATTAGTTTACTAAATAAAAAAGTCTCATGACTTAAGTACCGCTTGACAATAATAGAGTATCACTTCTCATTCTACTTTAAAAAATTCATAATTCGTTTTTACTTTATTTCAATTTTTTTATATATCTATTAAAATAAGTTAATTTTTCATTTTAATACGTTTTATAATTAATTTTATAAAATAAATCATTATTTTTAAAATTTCTAAACACACCCAAAATGTGAGACTTATAACCGGTGAATTTATAGATGCCCCAACATTTAAGTTGTGGTGAAAAAATTTCATTATTTTCGAATAACTCATGGACAGTAAGAATTAAACTCAAAATATAGCCAATAAATTAACATAAAAATTGTCTATATCTAATTACCTATCAAATCATAATTTTTATTTATTTATAATATTTCTTTGTCTTTTTTAGTTTTATTCAAATCACATTATTATTTAAAAACATTAAAAGTATATCCCCATAAAAATTAATTTAATGTCATTGAACATGAAAATAATATAAATTAAGGTCCAATACCGTGGTGTTCGTACACTACCCGCCTCACAATAAAAATCCCCATCTCTCGTTTCACATCAAAGGTTTTAAATCTACTCTTTTCAATTTAAAATTTCAAAAATAACAATAAATAATAATTATTAAAAAAGGCACGAAATGCACAATCGCCACGATCACTTTGCAGTGTGGGTGGTTTCCGATGACCCCAGAACACGAGGGGCATCTACCCGATATTCCACGTAGTGGTAAGGGCACAACCGTAAATTTCACCCTAACAAAAAACCCAATGCGTACAGCGCACGATAATATACCCCAACACGCGTCACCAACCTGAATGATCCGTGATTGCTTGGGTACACAACTCATCTTCGCCACGTAGGATCCTACATGGCACATAAGCTCCATGTCAGCAACTTAGCCTCTTCGTTATAAATACCAATCCTTCCCACTCCTACCACCAAATCCAAAATTCCCAAATAAAAAAAAAAACCTCTTCATCCTATTCCAATACCGTGACTCCCGCCGGCGACAGAGAACTCGCCGGAGAAATGAACACTCCGGCCACCCTGTCTTCTCTGCGTATGAACAATGCCCGTCTTTCCGATCATCGCCGCTACGTGTTCCACGAGAACCTTAACCTCGAAACGCTTTTCATCTCCTTCTTCTCTACTCGCTTAGTCTAGAAGTTATTCGATACTTCTTTTTCTGAAAATGGAACATAGATGATAGAGTAGTTGTTACACAGAGACAGGTTTTCAGAGAAATTTTGTTTTTGCGATATTTGTTTCCCTTTTTTGTCAGTCATGCCTCCGATGAAGATCCAACCCATCGACGTCGATTCACAGAAGCTGAAGGAATCGACGGCGGTGGTTCGCAACGACGCCGCTAAGCCGGTTTTGAAGTCGCGGCTGAAAAGGCTGTTCGTGTTCGACCGGCAGTTTCCGAATGTGTTGAGGAATAATACCTCGTCGGAGAAAACAACCGCCGGCGAGACTCCTCAGTTCAACAACAAAGACGGAGCCGGAACAACTACGGGGGAGTTCGAGCCGAGCTCCGTTTGTTTGGACAAAATGGTGCAGAGTTTTATCGAAGATAGTAACGAGAAGCAGACACAAGCTGCGAAATGCGGTCGCAACCGCTGCAATTGCTTTAACGGCAACAGCAACGATAGCTCAGACGAGGAGCTCGACGTCTTCGGTGAATCAATTTCCTCTGGTTCATTCGGCGATGCCAGTGACGCACTCAAGGTAATAAAATAACTTCCAAATTTGTAAAATAAAAGGAAAAAATTAAAAAGCAAAAGAAAAATCCTCAACTCAAGCTTAGCTAACTAGTTCAGGATTTTCTCATTTTTCACATTTTCGCGCAGTTTCTCAGCATCCAAACATTCAAATTGCGTGTTTTTTTTTCGCAGACCTTGATTCCTTGCGCGAGTGTTGCCGAGAGAAACCTCTTAGCTGATACAACCAAGATCGTTGACAAGAACAGCAAGGTCTACAAGCGAAAAGACGATTTGAGAAAGATCGTCACCGAAGGCCTTTCATCTCTCGGTTACGATTCTTCCATATGCAAATCCAAATGGGACAAAACCCTATCTTATCCTGCTGGTACTATTTTTCCCCCTAAATATTTCATTTCGCTGAAAAAACAACCTAAATATTTTCGATTCGAAACACCCGGGGTGGAAGAAATTGAATGATGTGGTTTTGATTCAGGTGAATATGAGTATATCGATGTGGTTGTAGAAGGTGAGAGATTGATTGTTGATATCGATTTCCGATCAGAGTTCGAGATAGCTCGATCGACGGGAACCTACAAGTCGATCCTTCAGTCTCTGCCGAACATTTTCGTCGGAAAATCGGACCGTCTCTGTCAGATCGTCGCCGCCGTCTCGGAGGCGGCGAAGCAGAGCCTGAAGAAGAAAGGGATGCACGTTCCGCCGTGGAGAAAAGCGGATTATATGCTGGCCAAGTGGCTATCCAGCTCTTGTACCAGGGCGAATCCGCCGCCGCCCGTCGCCATACACGAGTCGACGGAGAATCTGGGCGACAGTGCTGCGGCGGAGAGTGATTGTGGTGAATTGGAACTGATCTTCGGCGAAAAAACATCGTCGCCGGATCCTGTGACTATTTCCGGTGGTGAGAAGAGCGTGGCACCGGTGGCGATGGCGACGTGGCAGCCACCGGCGGTGAAAGTGAAGAGTGTTGAGAGAGGAACGAAGGTGGTCACCGGATTAGCCTCTCTTCTCAAGGACAAGCCATAGATTTTTTTTAACCATTAATTAAAAATATAACCAAAATATTTGGATAAGAGTTGATGACCTTTTTTTTTTCCACCCCCAAATTTTACTCTTTTCGGGTTTTCCCTTTGTTTTTTTGGTTCTTCCTTTGCAAGGGGACTGTGTAAGTACAAAGTAGTAGCAACTCTATATATCAGCAATCAATGTAATAAAATAGCTGAAGAAAAAAGGTAAATATTTGCAACAATCTAACTGCATAACTAAATACAGTATTTTTAAGTTTTAAAAAATGCGTAGCCCCTGAGCATACATGCATTACAGCATTAGACATTTGTCTATAGTGATTATATTATGAGGAACTATGTTTGTTTCTGTGTATGAATTATTCTTTGCATAGGTGACCAACAAACTATAGTTTTTTTAATTCCTTAAGACACTATTATTATGTTTTAAACATATATAAATCGATCAATTTTGCTTGCTAATCGTGGATGTATTTAGTATTGTGCTGTAAAAGGCTTTATTTTTTCAAAACATTTGTCTAATAATATCATTTTTGGTTGGGTTGTTGATTTCTGAGAGGGAGTGCAAAGAGATAGAGGAGTTGCAACCTTTCGGCCCCTTGAAAGGAGACCAGTGGTTGAAACTTTACTTTCTTTTAATTTTTTCGTCTTGGAGCCATAATAATCATATTTGCAATTTTTTTACTTTATTTCTTTATCTTTTTTATCACATTAAATACATATTACATCTTTCATTTTTGTTGTCTCTCAGTAGATATGTATACCCAATAAATGTATATTTTTCATTTTTATCATAGAAACAGTTGTTTCTTTTATTTGCTTGTAGTTGTTTTTTATTATTTATTTAAAACTTAATACAATATTATATTTTTCTACTTTTTAAAACGTTTTATATACTTATAAACAAATACTAATTTTAATATGAAAAAACGATATTCATTATAATTTCTGATAGCACTTCAATGAACGATAATTTAATTCATGATAAAAGTAGGTAATAAGAGACTGGGGGTATTTTGGTGACGCCAGCAAACGACGTATAAGAAGGAAGGCTCGTGGAATGGAATCTTGAAATAAACGAAAACAGGAAATCCGTGAAGGACAACAGTAAAGAAAATAATAATGAATATTTATTAAAAACTTTCAATTAATAAACATTTTTTTAAATCCTAACACTTTGAAAAAATTGGCAGGTTATGTAAATCAACCTTCAAGTCAAATCTATCTTATCATTTTTGTCAAAAGTATAAATTTAATTATAAAGTATTGATGATATAAAATTATTTAATCACAAATTTTTATATTAATTTTGACAACAATTAATTTAAAGAAGATAATTTTTAACTTTACAATCTTACTTTTAAAAAATTAAATTCGCATGATTATTTTAATATTGACAGTGTATTAGAATTAATTTTAAAGTTTATTTTTAATAACTAAAATCTATTAATTTGAAATATCTACCTCTAATTTTTAATTTGTTTTAGCTGATTTTAAAAGCTTTGATTTTGGTAAATATTTTCATTAAACTAGATTTAAATTACTGATAAAAAAGAAATCTGAATTTCTTATTTATTTGACATTTTAATTATTGATTAATTTTTTACTTATAGTTATCAAATATGAAAGTACAATATAAGTTTTTGAATTAGAAAAAAGGGGAAATAAAAAAAATATTTATTTCAATTTTTATGAATGATTGAGATATATAAAAATAAATAGTAAAGTTTTTTAGCCATTTAACCTTAATAAAAGAGACTATATTGAAATGAAATAGAATTTAAGAATCAAACAGATTGAAATTAAATTCTATAAACAAATAATTTTAGAAGACATAAAATTTAAGAATTAATTAAAATAAATTAAAATATAAGAGAATTAAGTATTATTTTTCTTAAATTTAGACTTTTGTGGTGCAAAAGTTAATTAAAAGAGAGGTGAAAATATGGACTCCGTTTGATGAGTAATGTATGGCGAAGATGGTATTGAATTAATTTGATGGTACGGAAGTGAAGGAAAAAATGGGGTGTGAATTTATAAGCCCGTTGGTGAAAGAACACGCGGCAGAATATGATAGAGGGGGGCCCCACAGTAAAAAAAAGTGTGAGGAGGTGATTTGACTGTGTCTGTGATGGAAGCTGTAACTTGGCATTGGCAATAATGGCATATCATTCCACTGCGGGAAATGCATCACACTTTACATTACATTTCTCATAAGATTGGTAGTGAAAGTGTATTTGACTGCTGCGCTTCTTAACAACCCTCTGCTTCTGCTACTTCTGCTTCAGTCGTACCATACTATGCAGACCCTTGAAGGTAATATTCTAGAATTTGAGAAAGTTACTAACCCACTTTTATTATTTTTATAGTCAGTAAAGCTAATCACAAACTTGTCTTGTCAGATTATATTATAAAAATAGACTACAACACTTGCATGTTCATACCAATCCCTCTGTTGCAACGCGCACTGTACAGATCATCATCACATCCACTCTATTTCAATCACATATTTTGAGTGACTCTTTTTTTTTTTTTTTAAATTTATAATTTTATAAGTTAAAATTTTTTGTTTTAATTTTAATTTAAAAACTTTTATTTAATTTTTTAATAAAATAGTGAAATTTTAAATTATTTTTTATATATATTTTCATTTATTTTTTAATTATAATTCATTTACTAATTTATATTCTATCTAATTAAAAATTCTCGTCCAAACACGTCTTAAAGTTAAATTTGTGTATTTAACTCATTTAATATTTTTTTATAAAATATAAAATTTTTTGTTGACTAAATTAAATATAAAATTAATTGATATTTTATTGTATTACTTTGTTTTAATAAATATTATATTTTTAAAATATAATTAAATATTAAATATTACTAAATGATATAAGTATTAAATTTAATATCTTTGTCAAGAAATTTATACAGAATTTATTTGTCAGATGTTGTGGCTCGTAATAAAAAATTATGTTAACCCATTACATTTAATTGTTTTAAATCAACATTTGATTATATAAAATAATAATATTAGTTGTCTATATAAAAGTTAAGAACGTAGATTTAAATATATTTATTCAAATAATAATAATAGAATAGTAGTCAATTTTTAATCAATAAGTATAGTTGCGAATTTTTCATGTCAAAAAGAGTAAAACTAAAACTAATATTTAATGTGTATCATTGATAAATTACTTTTAAGTATGTTATAAAGTTTTGGAAATTTAATTTTAACATGGCATTTTCATTACATAAATACTAGAATATAGACTTTTCTCTATAATTACTGAATTGTGATCTTTGAAAAATCACTCCCATGATTTTTACTGTATCTTGTCCTAGGTTACTTTCTTCCCTTCTTTGTAGGGTACGCTCTCAGGAAGATTAGGTGAGCCTGAAGACTGAATCAATGTAACTTACACTTTTCTTTGAATTGAGGCTATTATAGAGGCAAAGACAGCTTTTGCAATTCCAGAGCGCGTCTTTGCAGGTTAATCTCTCATCTTCTCTTATTTATTTCTACCTGAGATCCGCATCAAAGCACAAGGAGGTGTTGTATCTGACATTAGGCTGCAATGAACAGTGGGTGCAGGTGTTGTAGGGAGCAGTAAAATCGTGGGTGGCGAGTTTTACTGTCTTTTTCTTCCTGGAGCTCTGTTGCTTTGTCCTGCAACTGAAAAATCATGGCTAGCAATTTTTACCAGCATAGTAATGCATTGTCCTGTAACTGAAAAATTGTGACAATTTTTACCAGCGAAACAATGCATTGAAATGTCGTTTTAGGCAGATGGAGTTGGAAGGGTAACTATGCCTATAAATGGGGATTGAACCATGCTGTATACGCGGATGAGAGAGAGGGAAATACGAAAAAGAAAAGGAGGAAGGAGAAGAACAATATCAAAAAGGGGAAGAAAAAAAATAGAAAAATTTATAGAGTTAAAAAAATTAGAAATTTATTAAAATGGTTCAAGACGTGACTATAGAATCGAATAAACATATTTCACAACGTATTCATACTTAAAATGTAAGTAAATATTTATTTTTTAATTCATGCAATGTAGTATAATAATTTTTTTCTTAATTTTATTTGAGTTATTTATTTTTAATTAATGCAATTTATTTTAAGTTTGTATAAAATAAAGATAATTATTTTAGTTTAAGTAAACATAATAAAATTTTAGTATTGGATAATTTTTATTATATTATTTATTTTAATAAGAATTATTATCATTGAAAAACATATAATAAATTATTTGTATTAAGTGTTAATAATAGTCATTGTATAATAATAATAATAATAATAATAATAATAATAATAATATTGAATGTAAAAATAAGTAAAGCACAATTTATGTTAAAATAATAATAATACTATGTGTGGGTATAATTAAATAGAAACATATTATTTTTTTATAGTTAGTTTTTTATATTTTGATATATATCTATATATATATATATATATATATATATATATATATATTTAACACGTAGATTACTAATAAATTACTATTTTTTAATTTCAGGTAATGAGAGTATTACGACTACGTCACTTATTTATAATGCCACCTAGACCTAAAATAAATAAGATTTTATGAAATGCTAGTTTTGATCGTATTGCATAATTATGTCAAATGCATATAAACAGTGGTCTTATAAATGCACTTGTTGAACGTTGAATACCAGAAACACATACATTTCATCTTTCTTGTGGAGAATGTACAATAACATTAGAAGATGTTGCTATGTTGCTTAGACTACGATACAATGGTATAGCAGTTACTGGTTCTACTAATCCAAATACTTTGGCACTGCAGAATATGTGTGAACAGTTACTAGGAAGTCGGTCTGAATCAAATGATATTGAAGGTTTTGAAATAAGATTAAAGTGGATCATACAACACCTTGGTTGGCTTCCTGCTAATTCAAACATTAGGATAGCACAACATATCGTGGATATGTACTTTCTTTGTTGGGACATATTTTAAAGCCAAACAAAAGCAATTACTTAGTACATGGAAAATTCTTACAATTGTTGGTAAATGTCCATGAAATTGGAATGTACAGTTGGGGTTCAGCATGCTTTGC